AAGGAATTTTATGATGAAATATTACCAAATCATGAATGGACATGTGATGCTTGTTATGTTAGATTGAGAACATTTCCTTGCTAGAGCTCCACCTGGAGAACATTTCCTTCCCCTTCTTTGCCGCAATTTGTTTGTAGAAAAACAAAAATCCATATACAATGGTAAACTCTCCTCGGGCAGTGACTTGAAAGAAACCTGCAAAAGAAGAAATGTTGACGAGAAGACTTGTCATCCTGAAGAGTGACTAATAACTCAGCATTTGGGACTTCAGACAGACATAAGTTGTGATCAGCATGCTCTACTTGGATACCGATAATGACCACCCCAGCGAGAAACAAAGTGACAAAATCAGAATTTATCAAGTATAGTAAATAAAATAAAATTTGCAATTTAAGGCAAGATTCTTTTCCAATATGTGTGATGTGGGGGATGAGGATCAGGCATAACTTAGAACAACCAAGACTTAACAGAGAAAAGGAGAGAGATGATAAACAAAGCTTAAACACTCCCTAAGAAAATTTTGTAATTGCTGAATGATCTTTCTGCTCAACCAAAGACCACCGGTTGATACTAAGAAAATATACATTAGTAAAGTGACAACGTTTATAACATACATGAAGTACCTGGAAAATTACAAAGATAAATTAATGACATGAACCTATTAAAATTCCCAATGAATGTGCCCCTCGGGCACTGGAACAATATGAATGATAAATATCATGCTCACATCTTCAACAAGATGACAGCAATAATATACTGCCGGTTTTATCTAACTTAAGCTCACAGGTTATCCATAGACATTGAAACATTTTTATTATGACAGAGTACCTAAAAATGTGGGACATTTGATGCCTATCTGTAGGAATGTGTCAATCCAGATATTCCAGGTGAACCTTTCCGCCTCCCCTTGTTGTGACAAATGTTTTTGTAGAAAAACAAAAGTCTATGAACTTTGCAAATGAAAAGCTTTCCAAGAGAAGGTGCTGTCCTGCAAAAAAGAGTATTAATTATTCAGCATTTGACACTTACTATAGGATATAAGTTGCGAAGAAATTGAGTAAATAGAAGGAGAGAATTTACTGGGCAAAATAATAATAGAAATTGGATCGAGTTTTGTGTGTTTTTCTGGAAAATAAGTCTGATCAGAAAATATCATAAGACCAGTAAGCAGCAGTGACAATGTAATTCACAAAAAGCTGGGAATGCATGCAATTAGAAATGAGATGAAATATCAATGGAGAACAAAAAACACAAAAATGTGTATTTCGGTTTATTTGAATTTCAGTTTTTGTATTGAATTGGAAGAAAAGCAGTTAAAGCAGTTATTTGAAGTACATACCTTGTTTGTTTTATTCTCGTAAGATGACTTCATCATTTATCTCGATGCATGGAATGTGAGATATGCTGGCCCAATGATCTTTCTTATTCTGATACCTTTTCTCCAGGCCGGAACATTTGTAGATTCTCAAATAAGAAAGAGATGGCGGCAGACCCTCTTCTGGCAGAAATTGGAGACTCGGACAGTCGTAAATATATAGCTCTTGAAGAGAAGTGAGGTGTTGAAGTGCCTCTCTTGGCAAGAATTCCAGACTTTTGCAACTAAAAATGGATAGACTTCGAAGAACAGTAAGGTGTGCAAGTCCCTTTCCATCCAAACATTTCAGAGTTGAAAGTTCCTCGATGAAGAGAGTGTGAAGAGTGGTAGGGAGCAGCTGTTGCTTGAGCAACGTCTCCAAGATTTCATCACTTCCCCTGCCACCAATAATAAGGTATTTAAGGGAGACAAGTGCTTGCAAACCCCAGTTACAGTAGTCTCCCACTGATGAAGATGAAGCCCTCAGTCTCTCACAATTCTCAATACTAAAATGTTGGAGGTTGGGAGGCAAAACCCCATCTTCTGCAATTGACTCCAGATCTGGAAGATTCTTTATAATCAAATATCGAAGGGCTGTGAGTGTGTGAATGCATTCAGGTAATGACCTCAACTTGTTGCATCTATTAACTTGCAGCGAAGCCAGTTTGGGAGTGGGCAATCCTCCCTGGGGAAAACACACCAGATTTGGACAGCCTGAGATAGTCAATCTATTGAGATGACTGAGATTCTCATCAACTCCTTCTTCTTCAATCAAGGATAGTGATTCCAAGTTCTCACAATTCCCAATATTAAGCGACATCAATTTGGGAAAAATGCCCAATGGGAAGGACCTCATTGAATCACAGCTATTCTCTAAACTCAAATAGCGGAGCGATGTTAATTGAACCAACGTCTGAGGTAGGAATTCTAATCTCCTACACCTGTATATCTGAAGTGAAGTCAACAAAGTGGGTAGGCTATCTTCAGGGAACGACAACAGCGTTGGACAATGCCCGAGAGTCAAACTTTGAAGACGATTGATGTTGGGCAAGCACTGTATGTCATTAAAATGTCGAATGTCAAGTTGGGACAGGAGCTTTGTCTCTAGTAATGATAACAGACCTGTTTGGCATCCATCTTCTATTTTCAATCCTTTAAGAGAGTTGTAGTTGAGACTAGTACTAGTACTAGTACTAGTAGTAGCAGTGGCCCTTTGATCATGTAAAACCCCACACCCTTTCACGCGAAGCTTTTTCAAGCAAGGTAGATCACAAGGCAAGCTTCCTCTCAGTTTCGGACACTTTTCTAGAATTAACTTCTGGAGACGAGGAAAGTCTGGACCAACACTTCCACTTGATACCCATTCTTCCCACTCTGCCATCTCCTCAAACTTAGCTTCTCCAGTGATTGAAATGATTGAAATGGCTGACCATACAACTCAGGACCTAACGTCCTAAGAAATTTCATCTCACATATGAAGAGCTCCTTAAGAGCAGGTAGCTGTCCAAGCGGTGGCAACTCGAAGCAATAATGACAGGCTACAAGGCGCATAACTTTTATTTTATTGAAGGCAGAGTCTCCACTACTACAAAAAAGGAAAACCACGACGGGAATTCACCGTCGTGTATTCTGTTTTCAAATGGTCGTGGAATCCACCGACATCTTTTCCATAACAAAACCACGACGGTGAATAACCGTCGTTGTTAAAACAAAAAACGTCATCAAAAAATAAAAACCGACGTCTTTGTGCTGCAAAAAGACATAAAAAACAGTCGAGGATGAGAATAGACGACCAACTCCAACAAAAAAAACGTCGTTAAAAAGGAAACAGATGACAAATATAAATACGACGTCTTTACAATCATAATAGACGACGTTATTGACACCTACTACGTCACAACATTTCCCACAACCGTCGTAAAATAAATTTTCCACTTCGATTTTTTATGAATTATGACGTGGAAATAGATGTCAGG